AAATAAAAACATTAAAAACTAATTAGTAACTCACGTCATTTATTTTATCAATATGCAATAGAAATGTATATTCAATTTAAGATTATCATTTTTAATTCACAGCTACTTTGGGATTAATCAGATTAAAAATATTAATCATTTGACAGCCCTAGTTACAATATAACTAAAGCTATCCAGCTGTAGCTTACAGTAAGTTATTAACACATTAGATTATATTATTTCAAACAAGTTAGTAAAAAGAAAAAACAGATTTCAGTGAAACAACTTGATCTTAAAACATTTGAAATGGAGCAGGAAGAAGTATAAATATTAAATGCCACTTTACTGAAATTTTATAAAATATAACTGTCATAATATTGTAATGAATAAATATAAATATTGAGAGTGAAAACACAAACTGGTGGATAAAACAAAAAGGTGTTAAAAAAAGGATGCTTGGATATTTCTTAAAAACAAAGTGAGTCAAAAGTGTAGGGGTCACCTCGAGTGAAGAAACAGGAGTTACTGCCTGAGAGCAGGTCTTGCACAGGCCTGAGAGAAAGGCCTTTCTCTCAGGCCTGTGCAAGACCTGCTCTCAGGCAGTAACTCCTGTTTCTTCACTCGAGGTGACCCCTACAAAAGTCACAGGACATCCTAGCCTAAACCCTCACTCATTATTTGCAGAGGTATTCAGGCAAGTCATTTACTCTTTTCTTTCTGTAATAAAATGATGTTTTGCTGATTTTGACTCACTCTGCAGATCAGTGGAAGACCCCCCCCAAAAATAAATACTGAATTAAAACAAGAAATGACAGGACTAAATTCAAAATACTTGATGCACAGATAATCATTCCTTCATGATTGTTTTGCTCTTTTTAAAGTAATGTTGGTGTCTTGACACCACAAACAGGTTCAAGCCCACATGTTGTTTTAATCCAGTCATGGAACCATCATCAGCTTTCTGTTATGGGCTGAGCTGATCTTTATAAAGTAACTGTAGCTGCAGCATGTGTGCAGTACAGGAGCAGAACTTGTTACCTCATCTGTGGTCAGACCAAAGTCGTTGGGCACAACCTGCCTGTAGCGAAACCTGCATGGAAGGTCGTCAATGATGTCCTCGTAGTCCAGCTTGTAGTACTCGTCCAAGTACTGCTCAAAGGTTTTCTCCTCTGAAACGTCACCAGCCTTCAGTCAGGGCACACGATTGTAGAAAAACATAGAAGATTTGTTTCCTGAGACTTACGGGGATCAAACACCGGCTTGGCTTTGGTGAGGACCTCTGCAAACACAGATTTTTTTCTCTTTTTGCCCATTTGAGGCAGATCATCCTTTTTAAGTTTTCTCCTCTCCCTTTTCTTCTTCTTGGAGGCCGTGTGTTGGCTGGGATCGTAGTCTGCATCCATCTACAGAAACACAACAAACAAACAAACAAACATCAGTCAATCCCTGTGCTACAGAAGACAACAAACTGCAGTCAACAAGTCAACTTACGACAAAGCCTTCATCCTCGCAGTGGGGTCCAGAGGGATCATAATCTTCTTCATCATCATCATACTGCTCTTCACCATAGTCTTCCTCCCCGGTCCAAGTGTCCCAGTTCCAGTGCTCTGACGAACACGAGATACAGTAACAACTTTGTACAGCTGCTAACGTGTGCAACAGGTGCTCAAAGTTAAAGAGCATCAGCTCACCCTCCAGTTCATCATCATCCTCAAACTGAGGCTTCTCCTCTTCCTCTTCTCCATAATATCCATCGTTAAAAAGCTTCTGCAAACAAATTAATTAAGAGAGCTAAAGAGTAACAAGAACCTGCTCAGGTCTGAACGTTTCTGTACAAGTTTGCACTTCTTAAAGAGTAACTTACCCCAAAATTAACTTTTTTTAGCTGATAAACTGTCTAGAATGTGTCTAAAATGTTATATAGTACTGTTTCTGTG